CTTTCTAGCTATTGGATGTTGGGTGAACACTGTCAGTAGATCACGTATCTCTTGGTATGTTTGTGTGTAATTTTATGCTCTCAGACTGAGTCTAGCCTTTAAATAAAATTATGTTGTCATGATAGTTTAGGGACGTGCATGAGCGCTGTTACTGTTGCCTGATATATTGGCAGCAAACGTTTTTGCCTGATGGAACAAGTCCGCCGTGTGGTCTGTGGTGTAGAGAACAGCTCAGCGGTCCAAGAAAATGTGCTCCAGGCTTGAAGATGTGGCATGTGCCGGAGAGAGGTCAGAGCAGACAATAGTCAAACGTGTTTCCGTCATAACACTGCTTGTTTGTCAGTGGCCTCCGACACATCAGTAAAACTCCACAGTGGTCCCACCCGGATGTAAGTCATGTTGAGTGTGTCAGGGACAGAGCTGCCCTACTTTTGACCGTCGGCAACCGTGTTCTATAGCTCCAGTTCAATCCCAGCCGTGAATATCCGTGTTGGGATTGGCCAGTGCAATGTCAAATGGACTTCAACTATGCTTGGGAAGCGATGAGGAAATCCATTGGTTCCGGTCAGCGGCGACAAAACTGTACTGCACATGCTGTGATCAGCAAGGAGCAGTTGAAAAGGACTCTGATTTTGATCAAACCTTAACATATGCGCCGTGTCCACCTACATGTGTCATTTGCATAAGCTATGAGGAAGCGGGTGTATCAGCATGCTTTCTTTAGCAATGAAATCTTCAAATTACAGTGAAAGTTATTTATACCCAGCGAAGCTCAGGATGTCTCAGTGTGGCTAAAAGCTACGCTCAACACACCTGGCATTCGTAGCTGCGGACCGAGAGGAGAAAGAAATAGTCGGCTTGTCTTACGTTACATGACGCGGTGATCTATCATCTAACTGATTTTGCAAGCTGGAGCCTGTCAGAAAGAGAGTTGTGATTTCTCGCTTGACAGGAACAGTTAGTCTCTACGCGTCTTACAAACAGAGATGGCTGCGATTGAGATGGCAACAACTTTAGGAGGTCAGGAGGCGGGTACTCTTCTCGCATTGACGCTTTGCCAGAGGCTTCCAGCCCCGTGGCCTCTGGGAGAAACCACCTGGTGGTTACACGGTCAGGAGCGAACACTTCGAGATGCTATGCTATCTGTCAAATCGTCATGATGATGGAGTGTGATCCGAGTTATTCGAGTCCGTTCTAGATACGTATGTGATTATGCGTTTCGGCTGCCAGTGAACCTTAATGTTCCGTCATCATTTTGCGTGAGGAGATGTCCTGGTTTTGGATCATTGAGCGTTCACTGCTGTCGACTGGCAATGGGGGAGCTACCGGATACCAATGGACTGGTTGATCACAACCGAACAGTCTCCATCAGTGCCGTATGTTACATCCCTTTCTTGTCTTTAGGAGGCTGAGAAGCACTCATGTCTTGACAGGCTTTGTGCACTGCAAATCCCGGAATGATCAGTGAGATTGATACATTTTAAAAGAGGCTGCATTTTCGCTGGTGGTTACAAAGTATGAAAAATGATATTTGCGAATGGGTATTGCAAATTGCTAAGTGGTTTTTGGACGGAAAATCGCCTACACAGCTGCAGCTGATTTCACGTACTCGCCGGCTGTGGCTGTCGATAAACGGCATCATCTTGTGATAGAGGATCCAGCACTAGATGCAGGAAACGCCACGACCGTATTGTCTCGTGTCATGGGCTGTTGTTGCCAGGCCGTGATTTTCCGAGCGCGTGCGTTGCCATTTCGGGAGCGGCCGAGTGTACAGAATATATGGATAAGGCAAATACGATATGCACCAGCAAAACTTCTCGCCGAGTTTGAGACCAGAGAGGTTGTCACAAAATGGATTGCCATCCAAATGCGGATGATACGATACCGCAGCGAAATAAAGAGAATTCAAAGTATCTTTTGCAACCCACAAACAATTTTGTGCTGTTTTTTTTATTGTACGGCTTTGATGGAAGCCCTGGGTGTTAAAAGCATTATTAAGTTGCGTTCAAATGCTGACTTGCAGATGGCATTGCGTTTTGAAATTAGCTGCCTGTTAGCGTAGTCAGACTTGCACGTTTTAGTCGACGAATGAAGTGAGTTTGGATCGGGTTCACGTTTTCGTTTACTTTCACCACGGTACTGAGAGTAAATGCGGCACGTCTTGGACGTGTATTTGTTGCAGTGAACGGTGATCCGCCTTTGCACAGTTTAATCTTTCAATGCGTTTTGGTTAAATCTAAAACGAAGAGTGCCGTAGGCTAGCTTTAATTAGCTTGATGATTCAGCCGGCCTCCCGTGGTCGATTACTTGCTGAAATGTGGTTAGGCAGCGTTGGGTCGCTCATTACTGTGTAGATTGTCATTCCCTCTACCATGTTGTTGGCTTGAGGACTCTCATTTGCTCCAGTTACCGAGATCGGACATGAACATTTAAGACGCCTCAAATTATCATCTAAAGACGTTGTGCTTGAGCCAACGTGGCCGGCTGCATAGCCGCTCCCATAACTGTGTTAAGCATTTTCTGCCTTCCCCTCCGCCAAAGTGTGTGCCTTCGTACTGATGGAACGACGGGTCGCTGAGCTCTGGCATCGCAGTTTTCTGAAGCTGGGTCACTTCAGTTGGACAGTATACCACCACTCAGTTCAGGCCGACCCGGCTGACGACCTCGCGCGCAGCCAGCAGTATGTCCCAGTGCAAACGACCCGTATATGGGACAGGATGTCCGTGAATGTTATAGCATTTCCGTGTGTCTCAGTGGTTAACTCTGCGTATACAGGTGCCAGCAATGATATATCGATGTACACAGCTATGGCTACTGACTAATCATCTCATTTGGGGGATGTTTGTTGTTCAACGTTAAGATTTGAACGCTCTTGTCCGGCACGTGGAGAATGGTCTGTTTGTCTCCGCCTTTAGCTTGTTATATTCTGCACGAAGATGTTGATGCAGACACTTGTAAAAACAGATCTTACACACGATCGCAGGGGAAGTTTAGCACAGCTCCGCACGCTTCACAATGTTACTTGGGCATAGATCTTTGGAGAAGTGTTATACATGTAGTAAAAGAGGAACATTGCCGACAACTAATGATGGTAGGCGCGCGCAGCATGCACGGCAGGGGCGGCGTGCACGGCGTGGACGGCAGGAGCGGCATGTACTGTGTGCACGGCGTGCACGGCCGGAGCGACCTTGGCCACGACAGGGGCCGTGTGCACGGTCTCCCTGACGATGGGCACGTTGGGGCCCTCAGCCTTGACCACCGACTGGTGCGAGACGGCGACGGGCTTGGCGTGGACAGCCGTAGTCACGGCAACGGCAGGGGCGGCGGCGTAGCCATGAGCAACAGCCGGGGCGGCGGCGTAGCCATGAGCAACGACCGGGGCGGCGGCGTAGCCGTGGGCAACAGCAGGGGCGGCGTGGACAGCCGGGGCAGCGGCGTATCCCAGGGGGCGCTTCTCGACGACGGCGTTGAAGCCGTTGTAGTCGTCGGCCGTGTAGGTGACGACGCGCTCGGTGCCGTCGGGGTCGACCAGCCGGTACTGGCCCTGCACCCGGTCACCGTCGCGGCTCTCGACTTGAGATTTGTGGTCGCCGGTGTAGGCGTCCGACACGCCGTAGTTGAAGTCGTACTTGGGGTGCGGGTTGACGTAGTCGACCACCTCCACCGACTTGGCAACGGGCGCGTGGCCGACGACCACATCGACAGGAGCCGGAGCGGCGTAGGCGATAGGGGCGGCGGCGTAGCCAGAGGCGTAACCGTGGCCGTAGGCCAGAGGGGCGCTGGGAGCTCCGCATGCAGCGGCCACCAGCGCACACGCGGTCAGCACCTGCAGGAGAACAGAAATTCGTAAGGCACCGGTTAACGTTTTGGGTATGAAACCTGGCGTGTTCCTTTAGACGTCGGATATCTGCAGTTTGAAAGAACAAGCCCGAACCGCTGGTGTATCATGACGCAGGTGCTCGAGATATTTTGTAACGTCGCATGAATAGGTGCACATGTGATCGATGCGTGCAGAAAAAAGTTATGTTGTCCGTGATCGCCTCTTTGTACCCACAAATCTGTGGGCAAACTGGGACGTTCGGAGAGCAAGACAGACATATTCTGGTTGCCGAATAAATCACTGAACGGGGCGAGCGGTACTTCGGTTCACTTAAAGAGGACAAAGTGCTACTCCTGCCTTTGCCCCGAATCAGCGCAGCAGTTCCTCACCTTGACGTAGGCCATGTTGACTGTGAACGGTACAGAGCTGCACTGTCGTCAGTCGTCCGGCGGCGCGTTATATACAGTCGCCGGCCCCACCCTTGAGCCGGGGGGCCGTCCGCGGCACGTCGGGCACCGCTGAACTTGAACTTGGGGCGGTGGCTGCGGCCGGTGCCGCCGGCCCCTACGGTGACCTCGTGTCCGCCTGCCCGCTGGGAACACCACGCCAGGTGGGGAGGGGGCCACCCCTGCGGCTGCCGGCCGCCACAGTTGCACGGCCGTTATCTCCCGACGCGCCTGAGGGCTTCCCGCCATCTGCGCCACTTTCGGACCCGCCTTCGTGTCGAATATTGGGGCCTCGTGGACGCGGATAAAGGGAACAGTTTCGTCACGCTGGTTGGGCTGCTATTTTGCGCGGGGAAGGTCTTGCGTAACGCCGCAGAAACCTGCTTCCTGCTTCTGTCGTTACCCCGAAGGCCACGGGCGCTGACAGGTTCGCGGTGTCGTGTTGCGTGCAGTTAAATGCGTGCATTCGCTTTTTCGGCGTGGGAATTTGGGTTGTTAAGATGAGGCTCGTGCTGTGTTATTAGGGTAACGTGCTGGCTTGTTCCGTATGCGATGTCAGGTCCCGTATTACCGTCAACCCGAGCCCTTTGTCTGATCTTTTGGCTGGCCCGCCAGTGGATAGTCGAGCTATTAAAGCCGGGGCACCGAAAATGGTACAATCGGCGTTCTTATGCACAGGTCGTCTCCTAGCCGGCATAGAATATTTTTGCGTACGCCCTATTTACGGCGTAAAAATGCGTGGCAAGCTGGTAAACTTCTTGTTGATCCCACTAGCGTTACAGTTGTATATATACCAATGGTATATATACATATGATAGATACTATTATGATATATATGTATGTATATATATATATGTATATATATGCATATATATATATATATATATATAGATGTATGTATATATGTATATATATATATATATATATATGTGTGTATATATATATATATATATATATATATATATATATATATATATATATATATTTGTGTATATATATATATGTGTGTATATATATACATATATATATATATATTTATTTATTTATTGGTATGTTATATACATATACCAATAGCATGCAGCTGTAGCCGACGGAAACAAAGGTAATCAATTCGTGCGCAGAATTCTTGTTTCTTATGATCTTGAATTGTGCGATTTCCATTACGTTTCATGTTACCTAACGGTTAATGCACAATATCTCATAACCAAGTCAGTAGCCAGATGAGGGTCAGGAAATGACACTTTAGATCGAGTACATGGGGAAACATCTGTGTTGATGGGGGAGTTTGTAGAAGATGCTTCTTGGGCCATATGTGATCGGTTTAATCGAACTCAGAGAAATGCGTCCAGGGTAAAATCATCAGCATTTGTTTAATGCATTTGCGTCATACTAGCCACCTGGCCATCAGACCAACCCTCTGGCCATTAGACCAGCCTCCCTTGGCTATCAGACCAGACCCCTGGCCATCAGACCAGCCCCTCTGGCCATCAGACCAACCCTCTGGCCATTAGACCAGCCTCCCTTGGCTATCAGACCAGACCCCTGGCCATCAGACCAGCCCCTCTGGCCATCAGACCAGCCCCTCTTTCCATCAGACCAGCCCCCTGGCCATCAGACCAGCCCCTCTTTCCATCAGACTAGCCCCCTGGTCATCAGACCAGCCCCTCTTTCCATCAGACTAGCCCCCTGGCCATCAGACTAGCCCCCTGGCCATCAGACCAGCCCCTCGGGCCATCAGACCAGCCCCTCTGGCCATCAGTCCTCGCAAAGTCCTCGACCGTCTCTGCTGTGACGTCCCCACTCAATTCCCGAAAGAAGCGTGTCTGTAACCCGCTGTTGAAGCGCTACGAGAGATGGCACGCATTGGCTCGGCTAGAATCCATTCTGCAGCGGAAGAAAGGCCACCATCACTTTCTTGTCTGGCTGGTACAACTGAGGATGCTGGCCATATAGAGTCAGAGCGCTCGTGAACTGGTTATAGGGATGGAATGAACGACATAATTTCTCAGCAATCCTCCCTTCGTTCTCCTAAATCCCACAGCGATTCTCTCGTCGTCCTCCCTCATCTTACGGTGATCCTCACATCGCCCTCCTTAATTCCACAACGATCCTCCCATCATCATCCTGAATTCGTAGCGATCTTCCCATCGTCCTCCCTAATTCCACAGCTATTCTCCCTCCCATCGTTCTCCTTAGTCTCACAGTGATTTTCTCGCCATCCTCCTTAAGTTCTACAGCGATCCTCCCGTTGCCCCGCTCAGTGTGCCTACCGCTGCACGTAGAGGCCGAGAGCTCAGGTAGAGCAGAGTTTGCACCACTGAAGACCGGTTGCCAAGGGCGACCCAGCGTTTGTTCCAACGCATTGTGTGCTCGAGCCTCAAATCGCGGTAACTGAAGACTTGCTGGTGACAGTCTGTCGCTGCTCGAAGTTCAGTTCAGAGTGGAGACTAAGACAGAGCAGACATTAGCACAATACACATAACATGAAGAACTATTTTCGAGGGTGGACGAAGAATTTTGAAGGTATGCACAAATAGCTACTTATGGACTAAGCGAAGCTCTTCGTTTGGAAACCAGTGCCCCTGCCTCTGAACACACGCGACATTACTCCATAAATGACCGGACATTTGACGTACAGCTGTGAAAAATGCCCGTATTGTTGTCCATATGCTCTTTACGCATGCTTCTTGTCGATTGTGTATAGGCTTCCTGTTTCAAAAATAATAATAATAAAATATCCTGGCTCTCGTATGAGATCAATTCAATCCTCACTTGAGAAAAAAGTACAATTACAAGCCCCGCAAAACCCGCGTTTGCGAACAATTCCGATCTTAGATTTATCATCGGTGCAAAACATGTGATAAAAGTATGGTTCCATGCTGCCAGCAAGGTTCTTATGGTCTTTTATTGGCATTTCTCATGGTTGTCTCACACTGCCTTTCTTCCTGTGTGGCATGTAGCACCGACCTTACCGAAGAAAGCTGAGAGACATTTGGAGTTCCTGAGCAATTTCTCTACCAAGCGCACCAATGGCTTCACTTTCTTCACAATTTTCAGCTTCGTTTGACGTTCCTTCTGTTTTTGCACTCAAGTGGAGCTTACATGGACTTTTGTAAAGTACATCAGATGCATGAAGTGCTCACCACTGAGCGCTGATATTCCTTTAAGTGGCTCCAAAAATGCTGCCTTTTTATTTGGCCAACGCACGGCCACCGGCTGGGCGCCGCGGACCAGCGGCTGCTTTCACGACGTGATCGACGCTTCGCTGCGCCGGCCGGTCCGGGACCATCACCGCCATCGCCGTCGCCGTTGCCGCCGCCGCGGGGTGTGGCAGTTACGCTCAGCGTCCGCGTGTTCCGGCAGGCGGCCTGGACCCTGAAGGCGCGCGCACTGACGCAGCAGGTGTACATGGACGACATCGAGGCGGACGAGGACGGCATCGCCGACACCGTCATGGATGACAACGCCATCGCGCAGGTGGCGCGGCCGGGCACCTCTCTCAAGACGCCCGGCACGCAGCGAGGCGGCACCAGCCAGGCTTTCAGGTGAGCCGCGCCGGCCGAGTGTCCGTCTGGGCGCTGACGCTCGAGCGCGCTGGGGCCTCCCGGGACGCGTGAGACGGGTCGGCTGGGTGTCTCCCCGGGCGCTGACGCTCGAGCGCGCCGGGGCCTCCCGGGACGCGTGAGGCGGGTCGGCTGGGTGTCTCCCCGGGCGCTGACGCTCGAGCGTGCCGGGGCCTCCCGGGACGCGTGAGGCGGGTCGGCTGGGTGTCTCCCCGGGCGCTGACGCTCGAGCGCGCTGGGGCCTCCCGGGACGCGTGAGGCGGGTCGGCTGGGTGTCTCCCCGGGCGCTGACGCTCGAGCGCGCCGGGGCCTCCCGGGACGCGTGAGGCGGGTCGGCCGAAGTGCAGCGAGCCCGCCTCACGACGCGCGGTCGCTGCTGAGTGTGGACGGGACGGCGTGCTGCTGTGCATGGGTGCACAGTGGGACTGGGACGGAGTCGATGCCCGTTGGTAGAGTGAGAGGCCGAGATGCTGGCACAGCGCTGAACAGATAGACCTCTGTGTCACCGTGATATCCTGCCCTGCCACGCTCAGGTGCATGACTGTAATAGTGCAGACCGTCTTGACATCACGATATCCTGCCCTGCCACGCTCAGGTGCGCGACTGTAACAGCGCAGACCTTCATGACGTGATATCCTGCCCTGCCACGTTCACGTGCATGGCTGTAACAGTGCAGACCTTCATGACATCGTGATATCCTGCCCTGCCACGTTCACGTGCATGGCTGTAACAGTGCAGACCTTCATGACATCGTGATATCCTGCCCTGCCACGTTCACGTGCATGGCTGTAACAGTGCAGACCTTCATGACATCGTGATATCCTGCCCTGCCACGTTCACGTGCATGGCTGTAACAGTGCAGACCTTCATGACATCGTGATATCCTGCCCTGCCGCGTTCAGGTGCACGACTGTAACAGCGCAGACCTTCATGACGTCGTGATATCCTGCCCTGCCACGTTCAGGTGCGTGACTGTAACAGTGCAGACCTTCATGACATCATGATATCCTGCCCTGTCACGCTCACGTGCGTGGCTGTAAAAGTGCAGACCTTCATGACATCGTGATATCCTGCCCTGCCACGCTCACGTGCGTGGCTGTAAAAGTGCAGATATTCATGACATCGTGATATCCTGCCCTGCCACGTTCAGGTGCGTGGCCGCAACAGTGTAAACTCCGACCAATCTAACGTGTGACACTATAGGACTAGGGTGACATGTGCTCGTGAAACAACGCACGTCAACGATGGGTGGCTGCAACTGTTTTGTTATTTGCTCGCATGTGGAATGCTGCACGTTAGCAGGCTGAGCGCCGGCGTGTCTTCTGACATCGCTGGACGGCCCGCAATGCTCTGACTTTTCTTGTTTAGCACATCATGATATGAGAGCTTCTTTTGAAGAAAGTGGACAGACTTTTGTCAAGAAAAAAATCGACAATCCGGCTTCGTCTGGCTTTTGAGACTAGCCTGAGCTACACACTGGTGTGCTTGACTCATTTTTAGTGAGGTTTAATTATGAAGCTATTTCATGGTGTCTGATAATCCTTAAACGCGTCCATTATTGATGACGATCCCCATACACCTGGTGCATTTTATGGCCAGTTATACCTGCCATCTCAGTGCACGGTAGTTAACGTTTTCACGATTCACACCGCAACCGTGCTGCTCTCCACCCTCATTGGCCATTGTTCCTGCACGGCCGTTCATCAAGACCAAGGTAGCACTGCACGAGCAGAGCAATGGGGGCATTTGCATGACAGTGGCCACGCCCCTGCGGCTGCGCGCACTCGCGACCCTCCCCGTGACCCGGGGGCCGCCGTGACCCGAGGACTAGCACTCGTGCCGCTGTTCCCGTTACGGGGCGCTTTTCGGCGCGGCCACTGGCGGCGACCTCGCCGAAAGGTCGGCCGCGCCGCGCCCCGATTGTGTTTGTATTGACCTCCGGGGTGCTCAACGGCTCGCCACCGTGTTTATGGCGGCATTATGTCAGTTACGACGAGCCCTCCAGCAGGCTGGCCAAGGTCTGCCGTGTGCGAGCGGTTTACGCACGGGGCGCGGCGTGCCAGCGGAGCGCTCGGCGGCCGGCTGCGCCACTGACGCTGGTCGGTGACGCCGGCTCGTTGTCGGCTTGGTTGTGCGAGCAGTGCAGGTTTTTGCCGAAATATTCCTTCTTAGAAATGTTCGCGTGCTTGACGCGTGTGTTGTGAGTGTTGAACTGTGCATGCAAGTCGCAACGGCAATGGGATTCAATGGGGTGCACCGTGTTCAATCTACAGCACATTCATTACGCCGTTTACCTGAGACGCCGCGCTGGGGATCTATCCACGGAGGCGTGTCACATGCTCGCTTCGTAGTCATTATTGATGAACGACACGTAAGACCAACCGTAAGCACGGTAATGCTGATGGGTACAGTATGGCAACACCGGTTTCTATTTACTAGCGTTGTTATCCGGCCGTGGCCTGACCTGGCCTGTGCAATGTTCGCTCGCGGTGCCGTTGGAATTGAGTGGTGTGTAGCTGTACGACGTCGGTACAACGCGCCCGTGATGTCCGCTTGCCGTGTGCGTGCTGTCTGGCGTCCGCGACTCCCCGCTGTCCGATGATGGCCGCTGTCTGCCCTCCGCTGTCTGCCGCCGTCGGTGTGGTGCGGCGCGCCCGAATATCGCCCCCTGTGTGTGCTCTGCCGCAGGCCGACCAGCCAGTCGGGTCGCCCCATCTCGGGCATGGTGCGGCCGGGCACGCAGTCGGCGCCGCCGGGCACCATGGAGCAGGCGCTGCGTACGGCGCGTACCTCACGCACCGCCCGGCCCATCTCGGCCAGCTCCGGCCGCACCGTCCGCATCGGTACGCCCCGAGCCGGCCGGCTGGCCACCGAGCGGGACACGGTGCACAGCGGGCTGGCACGCGGGGACGGGCGGACGCACGGCTGACGCTGTCGACGGGGCCAGCGCTCCGGGCTGGGAGCGCCGAGGCGAGGAGTGCAGGCCCTAGGATCATGCAGCGGGTGGTGTGTGAAGCTGAGCCCGGTACCTGGGACGCCTCCTTCAGGTCTGGTGTTGCCGCGGGGGGTGGGGAGGGAGTGCTCCGTATAGAGGGCGTGGCGATGGTTGGCTCGGGTTCGAGCTGGGGCCGAAATGCCTTGTAAAGCATGCATGGGTATTCCAGGACCACTCATCCTATGTCGCTGTTGCGTGGCTGCCGGAAGGAGAAAAGATGAACTTAATGTGTCGTGTGACTATTTTGCACATCAATACCACTTAATTGAAAACTATCCATGCATTGAAAGCTCCATCACCGAACTTTCACTCGTAATCCGGCTTGCAATCCTTGGTTCCTTGATTGGCCTTCTCTCCTCTTTTAGCCTTCGCCCCGCACTTAACTACGTGGAATCCGGAAAATGCAGCGCACGTTAATTACACGCCGACGCCGCCAAACAATTGTGCATGTCACCGGCCAGCCGTTGCGCCTACGTGGCCCATTAATCCGACCCAAGGACTTGGAGCACAGGAACTGACTGCGCCGTGTCAATCTAATGACGGTCCGACCTCAGCGCGAGCCCGCCGTGTGGGAACGCGGCCGGCGCGCCCACCGCAGAGGTGTCGCCGTGCCAGCGAACGGTCACGGTCCGGGCGCTCCGCCACGCGTTCCGCCCGGGCGGGGCTGGCCGCGTCGGCACCGGGATGGCGCCCGTGCGTGGGCGCGGCGGGCTTAGTGTTGATATCCGCCTGCTCGCGGCGCGTGTTTATGTGATGTGTTGGGCATTGTTGTGTATGTGCCCGCACAGATATAGGTGAACTCACGCGCTGCCCACGTCAGCTGTGCTACTGCCGCAGCTGCTGATGGCTACGATGACAGTGACGATGTTGATGTGAATGGTGAAAGCGATTATCACTGTCATCACAATGTTTTTCTTTACACTCTTTAGCAAACAAGAAATGTTCTGCTTCTGTAAGCCTTTCAATGCGGCTGTTCAATCGGATCACTCCGACACTAATTCTCAGAAGCCATACCAGTTGTCGCCCATGAAATGCAGGCAGTGCACTTGAATGACTCGTGGGGCCCCTGAACCGGTGTCCAACAGCAGCCGGGCGGACCGCGGCACCAGCTGACCCCGCTGATGTAGCTGACGTGACTGCCCGTCTGCGCGCCAGGCACGGCTTCCATGCTGTCCTCTCCCGACGGGCCGTTTATCAACCTGGCTCGTCTCAACCTGGCCAAGTACGCCAAGGAGCCCACCGTGGCCAAGCCGCTCTTCGAGTACATCCTGTACCACGAGAACGACATCCGACACGTGAGTGGAGAGGTCTGCGTGTGAACAGCGTCTCAGAACGCGGTGGACGATGTCCGAAGGGCTCATACTGGGCAAGCAGTTGTGTCTGTGGACTAGTGGACGTTCCAAAACTGTCCCGTGGTTTCCGTCTATTATGCCGAAAAGAAATCCTACCTAGACATAATAAAAGAAGGTACCCAGGATAGTCACGCAAGGGACAGCTGAATGATAACATTTGCGATTTATCGGTCATAAAGATGCGGCCTTTGTGTTCCAGAGTCTCCCATAACTGAGTGCTTGTGTCGACAGGCATTGATCTATGGCCACCCACACAACGATGAACACTGTCCGCCGTCATGTTACGGCGTCGACTCGCAAATGCCGGTTTTCTTGTAACCGAGCCGACTGACATGGCAAGGGCGCCAGCCGGCGTGACGGATGGCCTTGTGACTTGCAAGTCACGCCGGCGGCAGACATCAACACCGGCCACCGATCACCAAACCGGGGGCTCAATTCAGGCTGATCTTGTCTGTGTGGAATTGGCCGCTCGCTGGGGAGCTTACAACTGGCGTATTTTCCACAACCGCTTTCAAATATGTCCGGGCAGTGGTCGTGTTGCCATGTATACAGCAACAGCGGCGCGAAATAACCATGATGCCGCGTGTGCCAGCCCACGCTGTGTGGTTCACGACTCAGCGGTCAGCCCCCCCCCCCCTTCCCGCGCCCCGGGGCTCGTCCCCGGTGCCGGGCGCCACCGCCCAGCTGCCCCGGCCCGGCGGCTCCATCCGGCGGCCGGACCTTGACTTGGAACGCCGGCTGCCGCCGACGCGCAACCGCCCCCCGCCCCCCACCCCTCGGCCGTGTCCGCGTCACGGGGAACACGGCGTCGGCGCGGTGCCGGTGGGCCTGTCCAACGTCACACCCGCCGCGCGGCAGGGGCCGTGAGAGAGTGGACGGGTGGGCCTTGCGACGGTTTGGACGCTGGGTCGGGCGGCTGGTGCTCAGCGCTGTGACGCTGGAGACGTAGCTGCAGATCGTGCCTGTCACGAGAGCTCCGTCACGACGTAGCATCCGCTCAGTCGTGACGTTACTCTCTCTCTACGTCTGGAGCCCGGGTGTCTGTTTCGGCTGAAAGCGCGGGTACAGTGTGGCGTTCGAAGTCGTGTCGTGTGTGCGGCCGCCACCAGGTCCGTCCGTGGCAGCGTCGCCTTTCTGAATCAGCTGAAATTTTTGATCTGTCGTTCATAGATATACCATCAGTTCCTCCCGGAGTGTAGCGGCGCCTCTACCTTTCAAGGCAGAGTCCATTTTATCGTGTGGCAGAACAGAGAGCGGAACCTGCAGCTTCAACGTTGAAGTCTGTTTGAATTTTAGCACAGCATGCTTTTGGTTATGTTTTCTGTCTTGTCACACACCGACTTCAAACCAGCCAGTTCAGCATCGAGAGCAATGTAAACCAAGAACTTTGTCATGAAAGAACCTTTTTTGGGCTCTGCATGCGGGAATATAACAGCAGTCCTTTGAAATGTAAATGAAACTTACGTCAACCAGAACCTCTGCATGTGATTGCCATTATTTCATAGGGCTTCCTGGTACGTAACTCGTGCTCAGGGCTAGGACGAGCGGTGACCGAACAGGCCCACGCTGACCTTGTCGGCCGGCCGCCGCCCCGGTGACCGGATGGGTACCTGACTCCCCCGTCAGCCTGCTACCACCCCGGTGACCGGATGGGTACCTCACTCCCCCGTCGGCCGGCCACCGCCCCGGTGACCGGGTGGGTACCTCACTCCCCCGTCAGCCGGCCACCACCCCGGTGACCGGGTGGGTACCTCACTCCCCCGTCGGCCGGCCACCGCCCCGGTAACCGGACGGGCCCTGACTACCCCCGTCGGCCGGTGGCCGCTCCCGCGCGACGACGGGTCAGTCAGGTGGCGTACTGCTGTACCGCAGGCGTGTGACCTGGCGTCACAGGCCACCCAGGCGGCCGAGTACAAGGACTGGTGGTGGAAGGTGGCCCTAGGCAAGTGCTACTACCGGCTCGGCATGTTCCGCGAGGCCGAGAAACAGTTCAAGTCGGCGCTCAAGCAGCAGGTGAGGCGGCCGCGGCAGGCGGGGGGTTGACATGGGCCGCGTGAGCGTGTGGAACTCAGGGTCGGGCTGCTGTTAGCTGTTGACAAATGTGTGTCTGTGTGTCAGGGTATGCAGGCTGCGGTTCGCCCGTCCTGTCCGCTTCGTTTGTGTGTTTTGGGAGGAGGAGAGGGCGTGTATGTGGTGTTGCGAACGCCGCCGGGATTACGTTTGAATCCGACAATAATGGCAACATACGAATCGAAAGGACTCAGCAATTCTAGTCCGCCCTTTCTTCTCGGTGGAGCTCAGTACATTGAACCAGGCAGGAATCCAAAGACCTTAGTTGCTGGTATGAAGCAAAACGTTTCGTTCATTTGGTGCTGAACGTGCCGCAATTGTAGCGCACGTCTCACACTATTTACGCATTGCAACGTGCGACTGTTTTGCAAGCTACACAGCGTCAGCCGCTTCATCCGCCTGGTCGGCCTGCGATCCACAGCTCGGACGATTGACGGGAGGCTAGGCTGTTCCCCCTGGAGCTTAAAATACTGCATATACCGCAGTCTACTGGTGTTCGTTTCACGTCCCCGTTTCGCGTCCATAAAGTGATGACGTATGTGGTGTCATGTTGATAAATCCGATCGACCTTGCCGCGCGTTACGACGCTGGGTCATAAGTTGTGCGACCTCGCTGGGAGCTATAGTGACGTGGCGTTCGTTGAACCCCACAGCCGCTCTGAGAACAATGCCTTGTCACTCGGGTCGGGTGGGTAATTTGTTTTGTACACGCCCTAAACGCCGGTATTATTGAGGTGAGGGCGCCCAATTCACTGCACTCGAGGAAGTGGCAAGGCCAGGTGGCCAAGGCTCCGTGCATTTTGCTCAAGAGCGGCCTGCGGTGATCACGTCGGCCGCGAAGGAGGTCACACCGGAGCCGGGAGCGCAGAATGTGACAGGCCCGGACGAAAGGTCACCTGGCCGGTCTGCGGCATGTCCCGGGCTTCCGGGCACGTCAAAGCCGACCACTCCCTGGCGGCGTATGTCTGACTTGTAATTCCCAAGCGAGATAAAAAAGTGCAAGCTCTTATTGAAAAGCCGACGACGCCCACATGGCGCGGCGTCGCGCGTGGTCTGAGGAGACCGCAGTCTGCACCTGCCACAAGCCGTTCACTGCGGACCAAGGGGCACCAGTGATGGACAGACTAAGGAGCCTGTGTCTGAGCCAGCGCGACACAGGCGTGCGTGACCGCTGTGCCGCTGTCACGGTGTGCTGGGTCTCCCAGGACCTCGAGCGCTGCTATACCCCCCCCCCCCCCCGCCCCGCCCTCCCCCGCCCCCGCCCCCGCCCTCTCCTCCGCCCGACCGCTGCCGCCGGCCAGCCCACGGGCGGCGGCCGACGACGGCTCGTTGTCGGTTGGAACCGTGACACGCGCACCTGTCCGCATCAGCTACCGTGACTGACGACTCGCCTTAGGCGGGGGGGGGGGGGGGGAGGAGGGAGGGCGACATCGAGCCGTGGCGTGGGGGTCGGGAGGGATGCCTCCATAAGAGGTCTTGTCCTCTGACATTGGTCAATTTTTTGTTGGAGTGGTTAACGGAAAACAGAGATATGACAGCATTTCGTGTCTTGCGAGAGCAACTTCGTACCTTTCACCTGCCTGGAGTCGACTTGAAGACAGTTCATGTGACTGTAAATCAGGCACTCGCCCACTCGCCACGGTAGACCGTTTATACATCGATTGAAAGACGCTCATAGACGCTAATTTTCAATAAAGTCAGCGGTTCTGTCGTGCCTCAAGGGCCCACAGAGAAATTCGAGGAATGTACGGGACACTTTTGTCTATATTAGGACCATCCATCAAGGATTTATGGGCATAGATGCCCGTCGATCGCGACAGAGTTTTGCTCACGCATGCAAGCCGTGGTTAGAGGCCGAGTAGTGAAGTCAGCAAGTTGTAGACCGAACACACCTTTCTCCCCGCAGCAGTACAAGCGCGACAATTGCCCATCTACTCCTTCACTTTGCTTCCGGTTGTATGTGTGTGCTCGCCGGCACGTGTAAACAACACGGCTATTGCAGAAAATGTCGATTTCGTACCCCTGACATAAACGCCATCTGCTGCGAGCGGGTCGTATTACCGCGTTGTCTTCTGCGTTTATGGCACAGTTGGTCGTAGCGCCTCGCCTTGGAGGCCTCGTTAGCTCGGCGGGCGCACTCCACTCAAGACGCCGTAGCATCGGCTGTTAGGCTGCTACGCTGAACGCTTGTGGACCGAACAAGCAACGGTATTGCACAAAAACGCCGAAGCAAGGTCAGGAATGCTGTCGATGTTATACAGTTGGTCGCACTATTACCTACTGATGCCTTGGGCGAACTGTTCTGGGTCAAGAGCAAATATCCGGGGAAGGTGTAATTATGCTCGAGAATGCGTATTTCCTGTTTTTCGTGAGATGAAAAGTGCATTCGCGAGGAGCCTCATGCATATTAGACGGTACTAATAGCCTTATTTATCGTGGAATAGCCAGGAGAATGCACAGATGGATGTATTATGCATCCTTTCTGTCCATGCTTCTGGTTATTCTACGAGGGATAGCGCTATTAGTTCCGTCTCATTTCCTGTTTTCCACTTGTCTGCCGGCGTGCGGTCGCGTTTCGAGGCCCGCGTCTTGATGCGGAGTCCCTGAACAGTGCAGCACATCGCTGCGACACGACTTCGTCTTGATGCGGAGTCCCTGAACAGCGCAGCACATCGCTGCGACACGACTCCGTCTTGATGCGGAGTCCCTGAACAGTACAGCACATCGCTGCGACACGACTCCGTCCGGTGTGCCTGCAGAGCCAGTGATCAGCCGCCGCCGGCGCCGCCGGTCGGCGTGCTGCTGCTTGTTGTCGTGTGCGGTGCTCATGGCGTCACGTGTGCCGCGCCCGTGATTCGGCGTGACGTGACGGCTGACGTGACGGCCCTGTGTGCGGCAGCCGATGGTGGCGTCGCTGCTGCACCTGTGCCGGGTCTACACGCGGCTGGACCAGCCCATCGCCGCGCTCAACGTGTTCCGCCAGGGCCTGGACTCGTTCCCGGGCGAGGTGTCGCTGCTCACCGGCATCGCCAGGTCGGCCACGGGCCCCACCCCGCCCCCAACCCCGCCCCCGCTCCCTCCCCCCCCCCCCCCCCCAGCCACCTCCTCCCACCCCCTGTCGACCGCGCTCCACCCTCACCCCCGCCCCGACCACTTCCTCCCACCTCTGCCCCCGCCCCCGTCGCCGGGTGGGCGCTGGAGCTGGGAGGGAACGGCCGTGGTCACCACGCATCGGGACTGCTTGTCCAGGTCATGTCGGGTCACACGCGGACATCACGCTGTTACGTCTGTACAGCTGGAGCGCTACAGCAGAGCATCGAAGTAAGCGGCCGAGGTAGCAAGTCTCCCTGGCGACGGTGGGTCACACAGAGTTATCAGGAGCACCCGGCCGGATAGGTTGGTTGGAAGTCATAGACTCGCGGGGCACAGGCCGGAGACAGGTCAAGGCGCCGATGTGATTGAGTGGACGGGCATTGGTGACTCCATGCGCCTGCCGCGTCTTGGACCGAGGTCTGCGGTGTAGGTGTAGGTGTAGGCCTGCCGTCACCGGCAGCGGATCAGTCACCACTCTGCCATTGCACCTGAGCACTGCCATTTTCAAATACACAGTCACAGCTTGGGTTTGTATGTTCACTGGAAGAGTCGGACTTCCAAAAGTCAAGGCCTAGCCCCTCTCCCTCCCACTTGCTCCGTGCCGCGTTTCTGGCACCCCAGCGCAAAGGCCGTCCTCGCGCGTTGGGAAAACCAGGCGCCGACCACAGGCTCACAGCGGTGGTCCCCTGGCGTGTAGACTGTGTGAGAACGAAACACAAATGAGTACACAAATCGATGGGGGATTTTTTCGTTGTCCCTTCCTTTGCGACACCCTAGCATCCCGTTTGTCGCGCGCCTCGGTGAGTGGTGCTGATGGGTCACGAGCTGAGGTGGTGCGCCTGCGCGCTCAGGATATACGAGGGCCTGAACGACATCACGCGGGCGGCCAAGTACTACCGGGACGTGCTGCAGCACGACGCCACCAGTGTCGAGTCGATCGCCTGCATCGGACTCAACCACTTCTACGGTGACCAGCCGGAGGTGGCGCTCCGATTCTACCGGTGAGAGGCAGCGGCCGACTGAGCCTGCTTATCGGTGGGAGGCAGCGACCGACTGAGGCTGCTTACCGGTGAGAGGCAGCGGCCGACTGAGCCTGCTTACCGGTGAGAGGCAGCGACCGACTGAGCCTGCTTATCGGTGAGAGGCAGCGGCCGACTGAGCCAGCTTATCGGTGAGAGGCAGCGGCCGACTGAGGCTGCTTACCGGTGAGAGGCAGCGACCGACTGAGCCTGCTTATCGGTGAGAGGCAGCGGCCGACTGAGGCTGCTTACCGGTGAGAGGCAGCGGCCGACTGAGGCTGCTTACCGGTGAGAGGCAGCGACCGACTGAGCCTGCTTACCGGTGAGAGGCAGCGACCGACTGAGCCTGCTTTTCGGTGAGAGGCAGCGGCCGACTGAGGCTGCTTACCGGTGAGAGGCAGCGGCCGACTGAGGCTGCTTACCGGTGAGAGGCAGCGGCCGATCGAGCCTGCTTACCGGTGAGAGGCAGCGGCCGACTGACCCTGCTTATCAGTGAGAGGCAGTGGCCGACTGAGCCTGCTTATCAGTGAGAGGCAGCGGCCGACTGAGGCTGCTTACTGATGAGAGGCAGTGGCCGACTGAGCCTGCTTAGCGGTGAGGGGCAGCGGCCGACTGAGGCTGCTTACCGATGAGAGGCAGCGGCCGACTGAGCCTGCTTATCGGTGAGAGGCAGCTGCCGACTGAGGCTGCCTACCGGTGAGAGGCAGCGGCCGACTGAGCCTGCTTATCAGTGAGAGGCAGCGGCCGACTGAGGCTGCTTACCGATGAGAGGCAGCGGCCGACTGAGCTGAGCCTGCTTATCAGTGAGAGGCAGCGGCCGACTGAGGCTGCTTATCGGTGACAGGGTGCTCAGGTGAGAAATGCTTACAGGCGAGAGCGCGTTCGGATGAGAGATGCTTACAGGTGAGAGTGAGAGGTGCTTACAGATGAGGGAGCGCTCAGATGAGAGATGTCTTCAGGTGAGAGAGCGCTCGGATGAGAGATGCTTACAGGCGAGAGAGTGCTCAGATAAGCGATGCTTACAGGTGAGAGCGCTCAGATGGGAGATGCTTATAGGTGAGAGAGCGGCCAGATGAGAGATGCTTACAAATGGGAGCGCTCAGATGAGAGATATGTACAGGTGAGAGAGCGCCCAGATGAAGATGCTTACAGGCAAGAGTGCGCTCAGATAAGAGATGCCTACAGGTGATATGGCGGACAGATTGCTGGTCCGGTTCTTCATGTTTAGGGTGGTCATATGAACAGGTGAGACTCAGTTGAGCTCCTCAGTGATAGAGATGAGGCTATCAGCTGATCCTTCCATCCCTACAGGGAAGAGCTGTCGAGTGAGAGCTCCGGTTGGAGAGCGGAGCATCCGGATGAGTGTCATGAATCTGGAAGTGATGGGGCAGTCGGGGTGTATGGCACGGTTCTGTAGGTGATAGGGCTGTCAGATGAGCGTTTCGTCTCTGCAGGTGAGAGGTGTCAGAATAACGTTCCTTTGTTACATAGAACTGCCGCCTGAGCACACCATTTTGGGGGTTCCCGTCGTATGTGCGGAGATTCGGCCGATTTTTGCGTAGGCCGAGAGACCGTTGTGCCAGAGGATAGACGCCTCTGTTTAGCTGCTTGAGCTTGAGCTGCTTCAGTGGGGTATGGAACCGGCACATCATGATGCATATATATATATATATATATATATATATATATATATATATATATATATATATGCATCATGATGTGCCGGTTCCGCTACTGCTCATGACATGAGCCCGGGGAAGAATATTATTGCGTTGCAGCGACCTCCGTCTCTCAAGTGTGGTAAACATATGGACTGTGTCTGCAGATGTTCCGGTTGTTCTTTTGATGATTACGCATGCTCACTTCAGAAATCATTATATATTTCAGGGAAAATATGCAACCTCCCGAGCGAACCGTGATGCATAAAGCAGTGGACTTGTTGGCGCGACATCACGCGGAGATGGTTTAATGTGGCAGCTGTGATCTATAGATGGCGTCACATTAGCCAGTAGATGGCGGTGTCCGAGAAAAACGCTATTCACTGGGTGCTTCCGAAGTCAGTCAGGCTTGCCAAGCTGCGGGTTATGTGTTTTATATTATCATTAGCCGGTTGTAGTTTCGATTGCTTAAAGTTTGATGCTAAGCAAATGCGCGTCATCTGTCCTCCGTAGTTCGCAGTTTGGCCCGTGTCCCCGATATATTGGTGCGGACATGATTGTTCGGTGATTACGAAGAATGGGATCGGAGGCAGATATTACTGTGTGATAATTTGCGATACAAAACCTTATTATCGTAATCAAATAGCGTGCGTAATTGCATGGGCTTCGGATTGTCTGGAGGGCGGCGGCGCCAGTGGGCTGGTCGGAAGCGCGCGGACGCTGGGAGTCCCTCGCTCCCCCATCATACCTTAGCAGGCGGCGTGCATGTAGTTTTCTGTGAGAGAAGTATGGGACGAGATGGAGCGGTCCTTATCAGTGTTGTTCTCTCTATGCCATCTTACGACATAAGCCCGCTGGCTTTGCGCCATATCCGTCTCGCGGTTGAGTGCGTCAGCACTTGGTGGCCGACACCGGAGTCAGTGGTATCGGTCGGTGCCGTCGGTGGCGCTGCTTTCGCGTGCCGGCAGTGAGCTGTAAAAGAGACTGTGAAGCATCGCCGCATGCATCAAGTAAATAGATATCCAGTAACAAAAGCAACCTGTTACAGTCAATGCCTGGTATCAGTAACCCGCACCACGAGCGTCCCCAGCAGCGGTCACCCCCGCTCCCTGCCACGTAATGACCCGCCGCGGGCCTGCAGCACGGCAACGAGCCCGGCGGCCGCACCTCGGCGCCTGCCATGCGTCACGGGCTGTGATGGCGTCACTCACCTTAACGGCTGGTGACGCTGGACCTGTCGCCGCCGCCCGCAGACGGCTGCTCCAGATGGGGATCTATAATGCGGAGATCTTCAACAACCTTGGCCTGTGCTGCTTCTACGCGCAGCAGTACGACATGACGCTCACCTGCTTCCAGCGGGCGCTCAGTCTGGCCGATGACCAGACGGCCGGCGACGTCTGGTACAACGTGGGACACGTGGCTCTGGTACGTCCAGCGCAGCGTCCGAAATACGGCCCCGACATGTTGGGTACAGTGTAGTACATGCAGCTCTGGTACGACCTGCGCAGCGTTCAAAATACGGCCCCGGCATGTGGGGTGCAGTGCAGTACATGCAGCTCTGGTACGACCTGCGCAGCGTCCAAAACACGGCCCCGGAATTTCGGGTGCAGTGTGGTATATGAGGACTTGGCGTGCTGGTGCTAGGACATGGGTAATTTGACCGGGGACACGTGGCTCCTCACATGTATGACGCATGGGGCTGCATCGAAAGTGCCTTCTATACGAAATACCCGAAACATGGATTCAAGTCATGGACACTGTTAGCTCTAGTGTGCCGTGAGCTGGAGCGGAAAACGCACATCTGTGGCGATCAGACGGCTTTCTTTGATGTTAAGTCCGCAGATGGCCGGTTCATCCATTGATTACGGCTTCATCCTCCGTTGGCCTGTATCCCTGGTGTGCCCGTGGAAGGGAAGGATTCTCCCACGAAGGGCTCCATCCTCATCGTCTGCGTTCTTTTGCATTTAACAATGTAGTCGCCAAACTCTCTCAGACATGTACGAGCACGTAACTGAATGCTAAGCTCCGTGGTCGCGTCGCGGCGATGACGTCATTCAACGGCGTCTTACGTCGCGTGACGTCACCAGGGTATCGCCGACATCAACCTGGCCTACCAGTGCTTCCGACTGGCGCTGGTGTCCAACCACGACCATGCCGAGGCGTACAACAACCTGGGTGTGCTGGAGCAGCAGCAGGGCCGACCAGAGAAGGCGCGCGCCTTCTTCCAGGCGGCCGCCGCCCTGGCGCCGCACATGTTCGAGCCGCTCTACAACCACGCCGCCCTCTCGGAGAAGGTCAGTTTGGCTTGGAGGGTCTTTGTTCAGCAACGTCACGAAGCGGCCCGAAGTGGGCTTTCCTTTGGCTGTGTTTGCCTCAGTCCCACACCTACTGGTGCGAGGCGATATTACGAGCAGAGGAGCTTTTACCAACTTGGTTGACGACTCATTTTGCAGATGGGGGATTTACAGTCCAGCTACATCATCATCAAGAAGGCTCTGGAGGCGTTCCCGGAGCACGTGGACTCGACGCGGCTGTTCGAGAAGCTGCAGGAGTCCTTCTCCTCCGTCTAGAGTGGCACAGGGAAGCTGTGACAACCTCGCCCCCTTCTCATCCGTCCAGCCTCAGGAGGCGCAAGCCGGAATGAAATGAGGAAGAAGGAGAATAAGGAGCAAAGCGGCCCGACCGCGGAAGTCTGCGCCCTTTCTCTGGAGTTTGCTGTCCCGAGGCGGACGCGCGGTGCGGCCTGCCCGGAGCCGACGCCAGCGGCAGAGCCGTTAAGGCCGGCGCCGGCTCTGCAGTGCCGCCGTCTCGGACGGCGCTGACGTGGCTGGGTGCCGCCCGTCGTCACCCGGCCGGGACTCGTCCCCAGCTGGCTGCGGGATTGGTGGCGCGCTCCACAGAAGTAGACCTGTGGTTATTTGGATGTGGCGTGTCGCTGGCGGGCTGGAGGTGCGTGACGCTGCTGTGGATGACCTGGGATGCTGGTGCGAGGTCACCACGCTGGGGATGGCATAGAACCCCGCGCACTGTTGTCGTTTTTGGTGGGCGGGGGGGGGGGGGGGGTTAAGAGAACAGGTGCCGCGTAACCGCAGGTGGACGTCACCGGAGGCTGAGTCGCGCAGTGTGGTGGTTATATTCGTCACTGGAGTGGCTCGGAGCAATTTCGGCCGGCGACATCGCTTAAGGTCGAGTGGTTACTTTTTGGCTTTGTAACGAGTATGATACTTGTTACGTGCCTGACAGTGTTTACGGCATATTCTATGGATAAAAATGTACCCTTTCGTTTCCTTAGATTGTCTTGTCAATTATCAACTCGTGATGCTTGTTATCATGACATTTGGTTTAGCTTTGTAATGAAATAACCATATTTGGTAGGATTTATATGTTTGTTGTTCGCGGAGGCCATCACGCGCGCTTTCCGTCACTAGAAGCCAAACGGAGCGAAACCACGCACATGTTCGTCTGTATGCACATAGACGCCCACATGACTTTGTGTCAGTAGAGGGAGGCCACCTCTCGCAGGTTTTGACCTCTGTGGCGTTGGTTTTCCGGAGCCGCTTGCACTTCTCAACCACGTGATACGTATGGAAGTTGTCAGATGCAGTTGTCAGATGCACGAATATAATTCTGGACACTAAGGACATTTTTTCCTCGGATTTCGTACGATAGAATTTAAATTGATGCTTGACTAGCGGTAAGATCGGGTCTACCAAAATGCGTCCTACTGCTAGTTTCACTAGAACGGCAAAAAAGATGCCAGAAGGCAGCTAACCGCAATAAAGCCTCAAAAGCTGAAAGGTTGACACTCGCTCTTTGTCTTTGCCAGCAGCACTTTGGACTAAAACGTCGCTAGAGCGGAAATACCACGACCGCTTACCCACGTGCATCGGACACGTTACAGTAGAAACTTAACGGGATTGTCACAGTATTGCGCAAAATTTCCTGGTAAAAACAAAAGTGTCCGCCGGTTGAGGGCAAAATGTGCGGCTACTTTCTGCTTGCCTGTTCGGAAATCTGTATATATATATATATATATATATATATATATATACATAATAATATATATATATATACATAAATAAATAATATATATATATATATATATATATATATATATATATAGCATATTCATCACATACAACGGTGTTATCTATGTCCATGGTTTCAACCCGTTCCAGAGGGTTGGACAACTTCAAGCTGGCTGCTGTCTCATCTGCAGCCCCCCGTCACCGCTTTAAACGTAAGCACCAAAAATGTGCGTTGGCTCGCCCACGAATTACTGGAGGGCTTCCGAATCTTTGTTCATGCAGGAACAGCCTAAGACTCGGACGGCAGCATGAAATTTACAGCACTTTGACATCAGACACGTGACATGGCATGCGGCCTCACAGGTCTTGATTTGCGCTCTCTTGGGCGGGTCACTACCCTCCACTGTTCTGGCCCCCATGTCAAGTTTGGCTCCCCAACGGTGAGTTTGTCCCTCCCACAACCTTCTTAGTTTAAGTACAACCAGGGCATTGTAAATGGGAAATCAAAGTTATATCAGCTTCAAGAAAGGTTTTTGCTAATTGTTTCACACGTAAAAGGAAGAAACGCAATACAAACTACGACGTCCTGCTTAGCGGAGTGTAGCTGGCTGCTAGTCACACGTTCGTGCTGTGTTTGCTTGAGTATTTTCTGTTCTCCCGTATTATGTATATTTCAACGACTCGACTAATAAGTATTGATGACTCTGGTCCATTTTTGTGCCATCGTCTTAGTGTTTTGGCATTATTTAGCAATACTTCGAGCTCTGCTGACTGCAGCGGGTTGCGTTATTTTGCCGCGACACCTTATCGGAAAACGCCATAAACCGGTCGAATATTACCAGCCAAGAGTGTGACCACGCTCTTAGCCGTGTGCGTTCGGAAAAACCCTTGAAATGTGCCGACCTACACTTCGGCGTGAATATTCTATAGAACTGTTGCGACAACCTGACGGTCGAAACAAGCCGACCGAATCGATAGCGGCAATCGTTCGACAGTGACCACCGAAACAACACTAGCCGTGTCGAGCACGTCTAACGCGGGTGCTACGCTGCAGGCCGCATCCCGCCCCGCGGCTACCGGCCGAGGTCTCCGTGGCAGCCTTTAACAGAAGCACACATCTTACACGCCTTACCCCCGAAGCTGTGCACGTCCAACGACGTGAGCAGCCACATAACACCAACCGTGTGTCGATTACCGAGCCCGGCTTTTGATGACTGACAACAGGATCCGCCGAGGCCGAGCGAGGAGACGTAGTTGAACAGGGCTGTGGTTTCCTTTTCAGCTGTGGGCACTCCAACTTAAGGACGTGTAGAGGAAAGTGTGTGAAATGTGGTATAAACGTGTTTTTAGTGCATTTAGGGCTAGGTTTTCCTTGTTGAGCCCATCAAGCCTATTTGGCGTAACTACACTCCTGTGGTGGAGGCTCAAAGGGAGTTTTCCACGTTTGAAGGTATTAAAGCAAGCCTCAGATATGATGAAATAAGCTCACTTATGACTACTAGTGTACGTTTAAGTGAACAGGCTGCTCTAGACAACACAGGGTGTCTGTTTAGTAAATATTATCCTCAATACGTTACTGTTTGATTGCATCATCGCACCGTCAACAACATACTGGGGTCCAACTGACTGTCGCTATATCTGGAAATCGTGCTCACGAGCACCAAATATGAACTATTCGATGATCAAATTGGTCTTGGCCTTGATGCGGCATGGCCAATGGTGTTTGTCATCGAGGGGGTGAATCTCTTGGAATCAGCTGAGGCAAAGTTTTTTCCTTGGCACACGGATTAATGATAAACATTCAGGTCTGTCGCACCTCACCAATGTTGATATTCGTGGCTCGCGAGTAGTTTTTCTTTCATGGGCCAATAAAACCGTATTCGATACTAGCGCCACCTATTTTACGCACTGGGGTCATCATCCAATACGTCTCAAAGCTGCCACTTTCTACACTGCTGGTACTTGTTGGATTAAGTATGAAGTAGATATCATGAAGAGCACCAGCAAAGCATTGCCAAACACCTTTTAAGCTGGCTTTTTTTAGTAAGAAAGAACTTGTTTTTGGTAAAACCCAAAGCTGCGCAGTTATGAGAATGCTGTAGCAGACCGGGTTAGGTTCAAGTTTGTTATTGCTAGCGCATCATTGTAATGCTGATTTGCAATTTATGTGCGTGGGAGATATGGGTTTATTAGTTTAGCTTTGCCGGTACTGAAACGTCTCTTTCAAACAATTACTTACATAAGCATGCCGAAGGCTAAACAGTCGCACAGAAAACATTTTGTGATAGGGCACCCGGCTCCACTGTCCCACCACCAACTGCCGACTACGGGAAAGCCTGGAGCTACATGAGGTGGCTGAGCGATTTGAAAAGGAATCTCACTAATATCATTTTCAAGACCGCGACGGTAGAAACCAGGGAACTGTGGACCAACGAAGCGATCCCTATTCATGATCTAAAATGCGTGACAAAGTTGCTCGAGAGGGATTGATATCATCCCAACACAGCTATCCGCAAGAAATCAAAGAAAGAGAGTGTCACAGCAACGCCGCCACCGTGAAGTTTAACAAGGTTTTTGATGTCGCGGAATGCAAGTACAAGCTTCAGTGCAGCTTGCCATGCCCAGTTGCCTGCACAGTGTATCAGGAGGAATTGCCATGAGGGACCAGTGCAGGCACCGGAAGCTTACTCTGGGTGACCGGGATGCGATTGTGACTAGGGAGGCCCGTGAGGTGCGGAGAATGGCCAGACAACTTCAGGGGTGTCGTGGCTCGGCCGCCAGTGAGGCGGTGTCTGCTGCTGAACCTGAGTCACCTTCCCCGCCGGCTGCTGAGCCGGCGTCGCCTGCTGAGCCAGCGCTGACTGCTAGTGCTGACCCCGAGACTGCTACGGGGCCAAGTGGTCTTAGCGCTGGTGAGTCAGCCGAGATTCTTACACGGTTCCGTACATGATAGAAGGTGGCGACGACACCGATTGTTCGTTCCGGTTGAGACCACTGCCGATGTAGATCATAGCGTTAACGATCTGACTTACACCACTCTGGCGGTTGACAGCTGGGGTGGCTCGAACCGGGCCGCTGCTGCTATCATCAACGAATTTCAACAAGACAGCAGAGACGGACTGGCTACTTGAAATCGAATATCGTAGATCCTAAGAAGATCTGCTTCGCAAGAGACAGAGCGAGAAGAGAGACGGCTGGTTAAAATTTTGAAGCAATTCATGAGTCAGGTTTGACCATCCTGTAGTCCGACGGCCGTGAAGGCAGGAACTATACGAGCTACACGGAGCCAGATGAATGCCGGCGAAAAACACGTGGTTGTCATCACTGAGCCAGGCAGCCGCCACGTGACTCATTTTACGTCCGAGTTCGGCCGCGCCCTGCACTTGTTCAGCTGCATAGCGGCAACGGCCGCTGCTTGCTGCACGGCAACCAGCTGAACCTCTTCCATCTGCTGCTGAGCCCGGATGGCACGACCACGGGATCGAAATTTTTATGGACCCATCGGCAAGGCCTGTGCTGAAGAGGCCTGAGAGAAGGACGTTGTGGCATTCAAGCCTAGGTCGGGGCCCGTGTCAAACCTGCCGGTCGACCTGATTCAGCAGCTGAGCACCAACCAGCAGCTGCTGTACCTTTCGGCCTCCGGCGTTCAAAACAGCTCTGTCTGAAATGTGGCGGCCCAACGGCGAAACGGACCATCGAACCATGTCAGGTGAATATGAAAACGCATTTTCCTTAAAGTTATAGCAATCAGTGTTTAAAGTTCATCAAGTATCATTGGATATTTCGTATGCTCACTGTTGAGTATTTACTTATTATCATACCTTGTGCCATGTTATGTCGCATCATTTGCTGGTTAGTTCATACTTACTAACATGTTTTTATATGTATTCTGTCACATTTAAGGACTCTGGAATAATTACATACACTAAAGGGGTACATTAATCTTGCATGATGTAATGCTCAGTTCGTAGCAAATTGTTCCAATAAATTCTAATAAATTCGGCTGCGACTTTGGCTTACGCAGCTTGCTCCAGAGCATCGCGGTGCTCCGCGACATGCTGCGGCACACATAGTCCTCCAGCGTAGCGGGTACTGGGTCCGTCCGGAACGACTGCTGCTGGGTATGGTGTGGCATGAGAACCGCATGGTCCGCGAAAAGGCGGTTCCGATCGTCGCGCCGCTCGTGAGCAACAAACCGAGAGTCTTCTTCAGGACGGGGTCTTCGCCATCGCAGCGGTAAACCTCGAGGCCGTGAGGTACACCAAACTGATGCCCTGGCACGGACCAGTCACACAGCCTCTACTGCGAGACCTCAGCGACTGCGACCTACGGGACACAAAGTGCAGGCACCGCTGACCATCTTGCCTATCTGGTTCACACTAGGAGTGCGACGCAGCGCCGCACTGCCGAGGACGTCTGCGGCTGGAGCTGGAGCTTCAGCAATATGTGGAGCCCAGCTGCGACGGCATTTCTGCTACCGTGCGATCTCTGCCAATACGCGTTTTGGGTTTCCTGTCTGTGAGCAGTTGCTGTTTGGGCCGGTGCATCGAATACACAGGCTCCGGCAAAGAGCAAGATGTGCATGGGTCCAAGGTAATGCATGACTTAAGCTGTTTGTTTAAGTCAGGTACTTTTGCTCCGATCACGATGGCCTCGATCCGATCCGATCCGATCCGATCCAGCACGATCCGATGGATGGAGTTTGTAGACGGCATTTGTTTACACGTGATTTTAGAATTCCGTGCGTTTTCAGTCAGGTCAGAGCGCAGGAGCTTTTGGTTGTGAGTTGTGCGCATATGTTGGTCTGGCGCTCCCTCCTGCAGCTGCATAGTCATGGGTCGTGATGGGGATGTGGTCATGAATTTAGACGTCTCATTGATACTGCCGGTTTCGCAATTTTACCTGCACTAGTAATATGTATGTGTGTTGTGATATAAATGTATATATATATATATATATATATATATATATATATATATATATATATATATATTGTATGCGTTTACTTCATAAAATATGATATACAACATATATCTAATATGAATATATAATATATTGGTGTAATGCATAAGCAAAACATAACTGGACGAAGTTCGTGAAATCCCTCGTACCTGTCTCCTCAGGTGGCTTTCACGACTCTGTCTCCCACCCCCAATCATTTTAGGAAATTGAGCCCATATGTGAACTTATGTGGCATTAATTATTTTGCTGATAACAATCGGCCTTTAAGACTCAGACCCGACAAATCAGGCATTCAGACAGAATTTGACATTCAGAAAGTTCTGGTTAAACGGCGTTATGGAGCAAACATTGTTATTTTGTCAACGCTCAACCTTTCAAGATGCGTTTACGGTCACAAGGTCACGGTTGGTGACCCGGTAACCTTGACCGGGGTAATCTTGACAGGGATGACCTTGGACCGGGAATGATACCATGACCTCATACCATGACTGGGATCGTGACCGGGACCTTACCCCGTGGAATCGCTTGGACGCGTTCAGAACACTTACTATCCACCCATGGTGGTCGGTCGAATGACGGTTAAACTTTAAAAAGTTGCTGCGTGAATCCCGTGATCGTACCAGATCCATAATGTCGGCCATCTTCAGATCGTATAAGGCCTTGACTGCATTGTGTTATTTTGATCGTCGTTCAACATTGTGACTCGAGGCTCCACGGCCCATTTAGAAGCGAGCGGGGACATTTGGACCCATGGACGATCTTGCAGTCCCCGGCCATCTCAGAACACCGTCCGTTTGTCTCCCCTTTCCGGCCCAATCGTCTCCCCGACCATGCTTTATAGGCCACTGGCCGTCTTCAAGGCCACTAGACCACTCGCTTTTCTCCTGGTTGGTTGGAGAGGGGCTGTCTGTGGCGGCCGATAGTGCTGAGGCGCGTCAACCTTTTCAGCCCGAACTGGCTGCATCGCGGCCCAAACTGATGGGCATGCCGCTCCCGGTCATCAGCGTATACACTGGCATTGCTTTTCAGCTCTGGGACGGGAGGCGTAAGGCGAGTCCGGCTTAATGATCATCAATATGTTGAATAGTCAACTGCACACAACCGGAATGGATGAGGCTAGCGTTAACAGTCTACCCTGTAGCAATATCCTCAGCAAATCGAATTCCTTTGGCACGTGCCATCATCTAAGATATGCTGCTGTTGCCAACGTCCAATCTGCCATCTTCCTGTACAATGGTCGAGGATCGGTAGCAGCACCCGAGGAGACCAGTACCAACAACACGTAGCGTGGAGTCCGAGGTAAGAATTCATTTAACATCTCGAACGCCGTGGAGACATCGCACGGGTGTCATTCAACCAACAACGTATTCCTTGCTAAGATACTCCCAAAAAACAGAACGCCGGAGATTGTTTGCTCTTCCAGCGATGAGCGTGTTGTCTGCCCTGGTGAGCGGAGCACGGCTGAGCTATAGCCTGAGCCTGCTCAGCCACGCACCTGTGCTGGACGCACGCACCCACCCATGCAATTACGGGGCGTGCGTACACCAGACTGCGTGTTCTTGACGCGCTGTAACAGCAGTTATCCGGTGACGTCATCAGGTCCGGTCGTCAGTTCGGACAGGTCGCCGACGGCGCGACCGGCCGGAGGCACACTCCCTCCTCCCATCCTCGCCATGTCCCAGACGGTGGCCGCCGCCAGGTGCGGAGCGGACACGTCCCCGTCCTCACTCCGCCGGCCGCCCGTCTCTCTGCACCGCACCATCCCGCCGCGCCGGCCTCGGCGGCGGCACAGTGACGTCATAGGGCACTATCTGCGCCGCCGTGAGTCAGGCGCGGCCACTCGGCAGTCTCGACAGTACTCGTCGAAGCTCGCGGCGCGCGGGTGGGGGGCGCGCGGCGGTGCCACGGTGACAGGCAGAGGCGTGTGAGGCCACGGCGCAGGGACGGCCGGACGCACGACGGGGGCGGGTGCACAGGAGCCGGGGACGAGCGAGCGGAAGAGGTGCCGCGGGTGGACCGCTGTGCGAAGGACGCGCTCGCGCGGCGGTGCAGAGTGAGCGGGCGGCGGCGGCCCGACCCGCAGCCGGGATGGTGTGGAGGGGCGGAGCTGGACGGCTGCTGGCCGCCGCGGTATGCCTCTGGACGTGGGAACTGGGTGAGTCTCGCTCCCACGCTGGCGCGGACACTTTCGCTGTTACGTTGGTGCCCTGTATTTTGCTGTCTGCTGTCGCCTTACGTCAGCTAATTCGGAATATGGGAATATCAATTACCGGGCACGCAAAGCTGTCCGGCTTTAGAGCGCCCTGTAGCGTGCGTGCGACGCTATATTTTGGCAGGTGTTTAGTCTTGCTCCGTGGCTGCTGTCGGGCTTAGATGTGGCCAACAGTCACCACGGACACGAAAAGAAATGAACCCTCGGGTTGAGCTATGCGTTCAGCACAGCTCAGGCATATAGGTGAACAGGACTATCCTTTACGGTATGATACGGAAGCCTGGGTCGCCGACCATGACAGCAGACCAAGCGCTTTCAGCCTCAGCCGCCTCCTCGAGCTCCCGGCTCCAGCCGAACTATCCGCGCATTGCGCCGCCCCACATCCCGCACTCCCATTAGACCTGACCAGATTCTACCCGACGCAGCCGCGACACGCCCGGCCGATGGCGTGCTTGGGCCCACCTATTGGCGCGTGCCGTGGCGTACTGCGCGGCCCCTGCGCGGCAAGGTGGAGGGGAGGGGTCGGCGCGGGGTGCTGCGTGACCTTGCGCGCCGACCGCCCGGCCCATCCGTACCGCGCACGGGGGCTTACACGCGCCGCAACCGTCGCACGTGGTGGCTGGCGGCCCGCTCTCCCTTTCCGATGAGGGAGCAGGCAAGCCGAGAACGTCCGGGAACTTAGCCGATGGTGGAATCGGACTCCGCACTGTCGTCTCGTCGTGGTCTGCAGCGCGCGGCGATAAGGCAGAAGCACGTGTGGTAAACAGGCCTGGCTTCGCCGAAGTGCCGAGCGGACGTCAAGTGTCCGGGGTGTGCAGATGGCTGGTGACGGTGGGCTCGTGGTGCAGCGAGTTACTGGGCTGGCACGGTGCTCTACTCTCCTTAATGCTACGCACAATTGCACGGACGAAGCATGCCCGGAATGTGCAACGCGCCAAAGTGGCACGCTTGCTTGGGCCGCTCTACGGGCGACTACCATATTAGCTAACATACACTCGGAGCGTGTCAAAGTATCCTATGTATGGCGTCATCTTACAGAAGGAACTGATGCAAGGAACCCGCTGGGAATACCATGTGGTCTGTTCAGTCTTGCACTCATGGACTGATAAATACCAGTACGTCGCCTTGAGCGGCGCAGCACGGATGAGACCGCGTGTGGTGTGAGGGCTGTCAGTTTGCGTGCGGATGATGTTAAAAACAAGCTAATGAACCAGACGCATCCGGCAGCCGATACCAAAACGTTTGGCCAATAATTCTCAAAGTATGTTCGCGAGAATTTGAAAGGGACTGATGACCGATACAAGGTCTACTGATGCAAAATTCGCGCACAAATGTGCGATTAAAATAACTCGAAAACGACCCGTTTTAAGTCTGATCAGGATTAATCATAGCCGACGAAACCGATGAACTTACAGTGAGTTACTTTTTTCAGCATGACCGAAACACAGCGAGACGCCATTTTCGGGGTGCATGAACGACAGAAGAAAGATGGTTACACTCCAGCGTGATTCGCATGGCCCGATCGCTCTCAATTAAGGCCGCAGCGTCTTGTACTCAAGATCGGTTTCGAAAGGGGTGATGTCGTTCGATTACCGTCCCATTTACGGGTCATGCAGTTTTGAGACCCGCTGTTGGGCTGCGGTTGGACATTGGCCCGTAATGCGATGGTTTAGGTCTCCACCTGCCCCGGCTGCTGAGATTTGACATATCAATTCTCAAATTTGACATATCAATTCTCAAATTTGACATATCAATTCTCAAATTTGACATATCAATTCTCAACAACGCCCCCCAACGGGCGGACCCGCCGCTTGTGCTCGAACCGTTTGACCGGCTGCATGCACTTAACCACGCATTTGCCGCATAATCATCCGTTTTCCGTCGTCAGAACATGCTAGCATCATTTCGTTGTGGCGCTGAGCAGATCTGGACCCAATTCTGTATTCAGTTTTTTGTTGTTACAATTATGAAATTTTACTTGTTCCGTGTTAATCGAATGTTGGAAGGGAATGGAGTGGGATAGGTGGATTTTGGGTGATGTCATGTTGCAGGAAAAGTCACTTCGGTCAACCAGTTTACATGTCAATGCCAGATAATATCTACAGCAAAACTTTTATGAACCTGAGCTTCATGTTCCTGTAAACTCCATGAGTATGCAGTCACTTGCTGCAAAGTTATGAACTTTTAGAGCGCTTGGCGGCCGGTATGGGGCGGGTCGGTCGAGTCGAAAATTTAATCAAGTCGGACTAACTCGGGCGGTGTCTCGCTTGTAATCACCGTGCTTGACACGTGAGTCATTGTGAACGTTCGTGCTGAACTTTTCGTCGCTAGCCTCCTTGTTTTAAAAGCACAAATCGCGCCTGTTCGACTGTATCACAAGAGCTATTTATCATGCGGGTGAACTGTACCACGATAACTTTCTCGGTGTGTTTCCTACGAAACGAAACGAAACAATAATGATTTGACGAAACGCACATAATCCTTCCTTGTCACCAACTTACCGGGAGGTCTGCTGCCATGTTCAGGCACAGGTGTGGTCAGAATGCGTCTCCCCTCCTCCCATTATTTGTGCATCATGTTTTGCATGCAGACGTTCGTGTTTGTTTCCTTATCTGGGTGTTGCTCAGTCTTCGATCAAGACAGATGCGCTGCGTAAAGAAAGAACCTTGGATACCATGCCGCACCGTCAGACAATGCCCCTGGTCTCTGACCGCCCCCCCCCCCCCTACTGACCCCCGATTAGAGCGTGCCACATTCCTCCTCGTGGGAGCGCTCTGAGTCACGCACCTGGTGGCTGTCGCATGCCAGCTGACACGAAATCTGAACCTGTGTGGAATGACGAGGAACTGACCAGTCGGAGCTCCCTCCAGGCGAGGTAGCAAGCTTATCAAACCACCCGGAAAACACAGTCAAGTGCTCTCGAATCAAAATTCACAGATTGGTGATTTCCACGCTACGTCAAGCCATAAATCTAGATGCTAGATAGAATCTAGAACGCCACAGTGTCGCATTGGTGCATACTGTCAGTACAGCGGTATGCCAAGCTTGACGGCTTGAACGTCACAGTGTCGCATTGGTGCATACTGCCAGCACAGCGGCAGGCCAAGTTTGACGGCACGCGCTAGGCATAATTCAGCGCGAAATCATTCCGTCGTGATGCAGTGCTGGTGTGCGGGCGTGATAGCGGCCAGCTCAGTCAGCAATGATCCGCCCCTGGGAGCAGAGCGTTGAGACATTTTTCGCCACACACGAGTCGTGCCGCGCGTCTACGCATTCTGCTGCAGTGGCGCACCTGGAACTTTCTTGCGGGGCGGGGGAGTGAGCCGAGCTCGGTGAGAACACACAGCGCGGGTTTTCAACTTTCTGTCAAGAGCCTTCTATTGGTAAAACATGAAAAAAATGCGCTTGTGGGGAGCTCCCCCTCCCCCCCCCTCGTCCTGTGCTGCTCCTGCGTTATACAGTGTACGCGTCATTGCCACATTTGACGGCTGCATAGTCTGTCTGTCGGCTCGAGATAAGGCCTGTTTCCTGGCTGTCCGGAGACGGCAGTGCAGGCTTGGCCTGTTTGGGGACGCGATGGCAGAGCTGCGCAGCGTCGTGCCGCGGGTGTCCTCAGTGCCGTCTCCATGGCAGAGCGGTGCGATGTCGTGCCACACCGCTGCAGTGGTATCCACCGCTCTGTTGTCTCCATATCAGAGCGGGGCGGTGTCGTGCTGCTCTGCAGTGGTATCCACCGCTTTGTTGTCTCCATAGCAGAGTGGGGCGGTGCCGTGCCACACCACTCTGTTGTCTCGCTGGCGTGAAGGCTGACGCAGAGGGGTGGCTCGCGTACCTCATGGGATGTATGTAATATCCAAGAATTTTGAAGAAAAAACTGTGTCCATGAAAAAGTCGGATTTGTTTTGTTTACATGCAAAAGTGAAATACACTGATTTCATGTAAGCTTCTGAAAAAGAGTCATACGTTTTCAACCTTTACAAATATCAAACATCGGAAATATTGTCAGTTTTTCGCTTTGCCTGCCGCCGTAACGCAGTGAACAAACACGTTTCCATAATGAACGTACCTCGTGGTTCATTTTGTCCGTGACACGACTCACACCGAGTCGTGTTACGGACAAAACGTCGACAATTTTTGCAGCGTAAAGGAAGAGAAAAGTGCTGACAAAAGTAAACATCTACCTGCCATAGAAATCAGCGTGGGGCAATTTTCTGCATGACTGCGTTCGACCTGTCGTCAGCACGATTGCCAGCTGGAATTCGTGACGGCAGGCGTGCAATTTTACCTTCCCTTTTTCATTTGCCTCTTAACTTAACTTCAGGTCTTAGGCACTGCCTAGAACGTGGTGCATGGAAGTTTGTCATCTATGTATTGTTGATGATATTCATCTATCATCATCCATGCGTCTCTTTTCATGTCCATCTCATTTCAATTTCTTCCTTCCTCATTTTTAATGTTGACTTCACATGTGTAGGAAAGGCTTTCTTTCACTGCTACTTCCACTGACAAAGCCCATCTCCGAGATTCAAGGCGTTTTTTCCTGCCCTCTATATCTTACGATTGCTCCAACGCTATTGATTTACAGGCAAAGCAACCACTCACCATATCAGCACCGTCACTCACGTTCCCATGGCTACACTCGCATCAGGTAGTCCAAGTCCCTTCTTTTCTATCCTACGCCGTATTCCCGAAAGTTGGGGACAAGTGCCACCCACCTGACGCACTCGCGAGCTCAAGAGCTAAATCAAAGTCGCACGTCCTGGTCAGAGCGATTTATTTCATCTGGCAGCGCTTTATTTTTCTGCTGACGGGCTGACATAAAAAATTATGGCAGCAGCGGCAGCCAGCGCGTAACGCCACAAACCACGTCACTTTAAGGCAGAAGATTGGGCCATGATTGGTGCTGACGGACCTGCTGACGACAGATCTAACACGGCCCATAT